AATTGTTAGCCAATACATAAGGTAGGTATGCGCCAGAAATAGTTTGTCAGGATCATACCGCTTTCCGATCAATTTTTGACAACATTGTTTGAAACATTGAGGCTTTGGAATCAGTACACAAAAAAAACCTAGACATTGCAGTGCTTCTGGTGGACCTAGAAAAGGCCTACGACAGTGTTTAACTGAGCCTATGTCCTAACGACGTTAAAAGTTTTGGATTTTGACCCTAATGTTTGTCGGTGGGTAATGATTCTCTACGCATACTCAACAATGTCAATATCGGACACATCCCCACCACCTTTGCCCTGACCAGATCTCTGCACCAGAGCTGCCCTCTCACCCCGCTGCTATTCGTGGTTCAGCTGAAAGTGTTTATGTCTAACATCAGATCTCATCCCGCCTATCGATCCGGCAAACGGAATGCAAAGAGAAAACATTAGTGGATGACCTCATGAGCCTATGAGATTACTCTGCAGTATCTATGCAAGCACTCAAATCCTGCCTAACTGAGTATGCCCATTGGTCTGAAGCCGTAGTAAATTGGACCAAATTCATGTATTTCCTCCCGGACGGGTACATGCTGACAGTTGGGTACGGAATGAAGCGAATCACCAGTGGTAATTTAAAACAATACCTTAGGGTGCAAGAAACCCTCGGTCAATGTGTCGAGGCTCAAAATGACTTAATGCAACAAAAAATCATCCAGCGCCTCTCCATCTGGGGCCCAACCTATCACCTTTGGTCGTGCATTCGTTACTGACGTGGCCCTGTTTGCTCTACTATGGTTTGTAAGAACGGTACGAACGTTGGGAAAGCAATCGGTAAAAGTGGTAAGACGCACCGCTGGCAGGTTCATTTGGAAACCATTTGCAAAAGATGGTGAAAAATTCATATCCAAGGTTTCCTGGGATCTATTGTGCTACCCTAGACAAGAAGTAGGTCTGGGATTACTCGACCCAGCCAAACAGAACGCGACACTTTTAGTTAAATGGATTATTAAAGCTATGTCTAGTACTGCCGAGGATCACTGGATCATGCTCGCGAAACATATATTAACCCAGGACTAGAACCTACCACGCATGAAGGATGTGTGGACCTGTTGTATGATAGATTCCTTCCTGTGTAGGCGAGTCTCCTCCCCGTTCTGGCAAGATATACTCCAGGCCTGGAAGAGGGTGGGACCCTGCCGCTGGACCCCTCCCTCCACTCGGGAGGAAGTGCTATCCCAACCTTTGTTTGACAACCCTTCCATCACAGGGCCGGACGACCGACCTTTTTCTTCAAGGAGCAACCAGGATGCATTTCGGAAATAATGGCCAGAAAGAGGGGTGCTGCAAATCGCAGATCTCTGGGACGAACTGACTGGTCAGTGGTTACCACCTCAAGACCTCAAGCAAAAGTTAGGAAGATTGAGCCAGGTTGAAGAAAGAGTGACCTCCTCGAAGGCCGCCATCCCCCCAGAGTGGGCCCACTTGCTGAGCCCAGCAGGAGTGCCACCACCAGGGACCTGGTTTGTTGTCCAGCAATCAGAGTCGCACCTTCAGCCGGAGCAGACAAAGGTAGTATAAAAACTTCTCTTGACTGACATTGATGGAAGAAGACGCTTCCAAAGATGACTAAGATCGCCATCTTCGGAGTACCTCCTGTGTGACAATGCAGACTCATCAGTCTTACCATGCAGGCCGCTGGACAATCTTATGCAGATCAGAGTCCAGGAAAGCTATAACGAAGAAGGGTTATGGATGTGCAAATTATGCGAAGATGGAGCTTCGATTTGAGCACTGCGAACTGTGCGAATCGATCCTAAACTGTGGTCCTTGAGCGGTTCTCGAAAGTTCCCTCAGGAAGCATGGTTATCGGACTACACATCAACTGGAGGGTACGAACTGCCCCTTTCAGAAAGGACCCCCTCTCTGTCGCAATAAGTAGGTGGACTCAAGCAACACACGTATCGGTCAGGAAATCAAAAGATGTTGGCCACAGTTGCAGAAACTGCTCATGCCAAGGGCATCAACTATACTCAGGCTTCTATCATTGCTCTCTACCCCCTTGGCGGTGTGGCTAGTAGGGAAAGGGACTCAGATGAAGATTTTGATTCACTCTTCACGATGTCGCTGGCCATACGAATCAACAGTCCACCTGTGGCTCTCCTGCCCGCTATCTCGAAGAATATGGACATGGTAGAGTGAACATTGGGACCGCATCTGCGGTCCGGTCTTCCCCTGCGACAATCACTAGGTGTTGTTTTGATGGCATTTCAAAGGGCTTCACGGGGGATAAGGGTTGGGGATATATACGCAAACCCTCAGAGCTGGCTTGTTTCTAGTAATCTGGGAGGTCAGAAGCAGGAATGTGTTTGAAGACCACTTCATCTAGGATAAATTCATCAAGATCTCGGTGAAACTCCACGTTCGTAGGAGTGCACAAACTTGAAGTGACGGGAGGCGGAAGGTTTGGTCTCCACCAGCCCACGTTAGGGTTGCCCAGATTTTCACCTCAGACAACCGTTCGGTCTGAGTCCACAAATCCGCTCTGGAGGCGGCCATGCGCGGCCAAGGCCTCGGCCGTGGCCGGGGCCGCGACCCCGTGGCTATGGCCGCACGGCCACATGGTGGCCAGTGGAGGGGGGAGGGGGGAAGGGTTTGGGGGCTGATTGGGGCTGCGCAACTCCAACCCCACCCTCTTATAGATTTTTTTTTTTTTTTTTAAACGAATGTCGGGAGGGGTTGGGTTGGGGAAAAAAAATAAAAAAGATCTTGATTGATTGATTGGTGGTCGCCCCCCCCCGCAAGCACACACACACACACACACACACACACACACACACAC